AACTAAAAGAAATTCTAGCTTCTAGTGCTCCTGAAGTGGTAACCGAGAGAGAGAGAGAGAGAGAGAGAGTGTGGAAGAATGAAGAAACCTGCCAAAAGATATCTCCGACAATAGTTTAATCTCTCTTTATATTTAGCCTATTTATAAATACGTCCTCATTCTTTTGTAATATATCACTTTAGTCATAAAAGGTTTTAATGTCAAAACATAGTTTTGACTCCATTAATTATTGTTTATTTTTCTTGTCTTATCTCTTTTCTTTTCTTTTTTCTTTTTATTTAAGTACTATGCATTCTTGTGGTTTTGTTATTTCTTTTATTTTAAATTTTGATTAGAATTCTAATTTCTTTTATGTTCTAGCTTTGATTAGTTTTTTCCATTGTAAAACAATTACGTATTCCCTTAGAACAGGTAGATTTTCATTGAGCGTGAATTAGTAGGTAAGTGTTTTAATGTTGAAGACTGCTTTCAATGTCATAGAAACGACATTTTGAACTTATTAAAAAATTGAACTTAACTACTTATTAAAGAGATAATAGTAAGACTTAACATCAAATATGTTAAGTGATAGACTTAGGTGGTATTTGATAAAAGCGAAAGCTGAAGTCTGAAAGTTGAAAGTTGAATGCTGAATTTATGGACTATTTTGTATACACTGAAATTTAAGTACTGAATTGAACTAAACTGTTTGATAACTATACAGAGCTAACATCTGAAAATAAATTAATTTTCAGTTTTACCCTTCCACTCTTTAATTTGAAAATATTTATAAAATATGTTATAACATAATCCATAATCACTATTATTATATTGTAATCTATATTTAACAAATGTTTGATCAAACTAAATAAATAAATAACATCTGAATAACACTATAAGTAAACAATAACAAATTGAATAACATAATAAGTGAACAATAACATCTGATAAAAAATAATAATAACTAATAAATAATCAAATAATATTAAAAAAATACAATAATTTAGATTTCATTAACAATGTGTGTGTATGTAGTGCATGTGAGTGTGTAGTGCATATTTCTGTATGTAATTTTGTGTGTGTGCGGTGCGTGCGTGCGTTTGTGTGTGTAATGATAATTATGTATGTATATTTTTGTTACAAAAAACAATGAAAGGAAAAAAAAAAAGATCAACAAGGAAAATATATAGGTTAGGGATTTTGAAGAGAAGACTAATTAGAATTTTAATAGGATTATAAAATATTTCGGATTATAATTGTCATATTATAAATATTATTAAAGATAGTTTTGCTGATCACTTTCAACTTTCAACTTTCAGAATTAAGTAAATAATCTCATACTTAATATTATAGTCTATTTTTAAGGAGCACTTAACATATTAAAAGTGTTTAAATTTTGGTTATCAAACGGACTTTATTAATAAATTTTGAATATATTCATTTTAAGTGCTGAATTTGAGTTAACAAACACACTTTTAACTCATTATAAGTTCCATAAAGATAACTTTACGCCAATTTATAAGGGTAAATGTACTAAAATTATGATATTTCTTTATTGTCGCTGCCACTAATACCCCGATCTCATCTTAAGAATATTATAAAATTACTTTCTAAAGTGTTAAATTAATATTTTATAAAAATTAAAAGGGTAAATTACAATTTATATCCTTAATATATTTACCTAATTTCTATTTGATCTTTAAAGTTCCAGTTGCAACAATCAAGGCTTTATAGTTTTAATTGAATTTCAATTTAAACCAAATTATTATGATGAAATGTATTCCAAAATTAACATATGATTTGGATAAAGATGTATATTTGTCTAGTGAAAAATCGATTACATGTAGGTTAATAAATATTAAACTATTTCATATGAGTTTGAGAAAAAAATGAAACAAACTCAAAATAAAAAAGATGTTGAATGAGAATTCGAGGGATATTGTGAGACAAATACAGAGATATTGATGTATTTGAGAAATATATTTTTTATTGGAAAAAAATACCCTTATATGTATGTCTTTGTGTTGTCTTTCTGTTGGAAAAAATTAATAGATATAAATGAAAGGATTGGATTGTAACTTGGTTAAAACTTTAACGATGTAATTATATTAATTAAAATTTAAAGGACTAAATAATAATTATATGCATGCTTTATGGGTTTAAATTGTAAATATCCAAATTAAAATGTAAAGTAGTTGATAGAGATGATGAGAAATTCAAATACTAAAAAGTTAGTAATCCATCCATATTTATGTCTATACTACTTATAAATATCAGCATATGTGAAAAATTTTTGATTTTGATTTTATCTTTAATTATTATTATAGAGTTAATGATACCCACATACTATTTTCATTCAATTTTTATTTTCTATACTTATTTGATTTTTAAGCTTATTTGGACTCTTTTATTAATAATATTTGACTTTCAAATTATTTATTATTTTTATCCAATTTTTATTTTTTATTTCCTAAACAAATGACAAATTAAATACTCAAAGAAAGATACAATAGATCTAGTGGAGATTAACAATAATTCAAATAAGAATTCATTATTTTACATATAATTTATTATTCAATTTAATTAGATATTTAATTTAAATTTATTATAAAATTTATTATTTAAATATATTTACGTGTAATACATATTGTGCATTGCTTATTAATATGTTAAAACAAGTTATACATACCATGTGTTGGAATTTAATTAGAAAAAATTGATTAAGTAATTTAAAATTAAAAAAAATAAAATTTAAGAGAGATAAAACATTCTCTCTCTTAAAATTAATTATTTTAGCCATATAGAAAAGATCAGTGTTATTAGAATTAAACCGGACCGATCAAACTGTCAACCGGTCCTTACACTAGTTCGATTTATTTAACAGGCCGCTTGAGTATTTGAACTGTTAAAGAACCGTAAAATCGATTGATTTTTGATGAAAACCGTTGAACCGGACAGTTCATATAACTTGGGCGGTTCAAATAACTCCTCATATATAATAATAAAAAAAAATTGAGGCAAATTTAGCCTTGGCAGCTTCGTCGTCTCTTCTCCAATATAGACGACGCAAAGGCACAGGCAGAGACCAGTAGCTCATCTCGAACCCTCCCTTCTCTAGAACTCGAGTCTCGAACTCTTCCTTCTCTACAACTCAACTTTGTCTTCTCTTCTTCATCGTTGCTTTATTTCACTCTCTCTCAATCTCTCAGTCTCATTCACTCTCTCACACACACGCAACACATACTCGATGAAAGATAGAAAAGAAAGGGTGCTGTAGATAAGTCTAATCCAGTGAGGCGGTGGGTGGGTGTAGGTCCTATTGGAGGCAGTGGGCATTGGTCATATTGAAGGCTGTTGAATGAAATTCCCAAGTGAATTAGGAATTGTAATCGTCGTGTGATTGAGATTTTTATTGTAATGTAAGGGTTTAATGTTTTGCCAATTTTTTTGTTTTAATAAAATATATTTTTCATATTATTTTAATTTAATTATTATGTTTTATAATTTATAATTTTTTTATTATAAAATTGATCCGATCCGTTAACTCACCGACCCACTTCTGATAACTATTGAATAGGCGGCATAAATTTCGAAGGAGACTTCATTTTTCTCAAAAGGAACAGGTGTTTGAAATGGTTGCGTCTTCGTATCTTCTACGCATTGAACCTGGACCCTACGACGTCCACATGCAATCCGCCCAACGTCAGCAGATATGTCATCACCCTTCGGGCCCACACCTAGTAAGACAAAAGAGCAAACCGTTGACCGCCAACTTTGAATGCACGCGGTCGTTTTTTTTCTTTCTTTTTGACTTTCATGTAAGCGTTTCCGTGAAAAATAATATCATGTAGATTTAATTTAGTAATTTAATCATTGGTCTTGGTATTTATTGTGATGTATAATTAATCCAATAAATATAATAAAATAAAATAATAAATTAAATTTAAATAATATTATTATTCGTAAATATTTTGAAAGAGTTATATACATTTTTTTCTCGACAATGCATTCGATATTTTCTCATGGAACAATATGAAAAAATGCAATTATTGTTAGCCACAAAGCTACGGGGTAAAATTTATTGCACTTTTAATTTTTTATAATTAATTATATATTTTAAAATTATAATATATGTTTAAACAATTATAACATCTTCAACTACTTTCGAGGATGCCTTATGCCACGACATGAGTAAAATACATAGGGGTGACATTCTGTTCCAAACTGAATCATGGGCCGGACTCGCTCCCTTTCTTTTCTAATGAATGACTTGCTATGGAATCAGACTATTTCTCTAAACTATATTCTTTGGATCGAAATAATTGTATCCTTCTTCCCTTCCACAGTTCCTCTCTTCTTTCGCTTTCTTGGATTTCGGATTCCAAACCTGCTTAACTAATAAGCAAGATTATTGCAAAGAGCAAATAATTTGTATGACTTCGTCAATTTTTATAGAAAGAAAATATTCTAGAATGGAATTATAACTTCTGTACTATACATCATAATAGACATTATATGTATTCATGGTATAACATTATAAGTGGGTGATTCAATGTCTCACTGATCACATTGTAACAGGTTACAATAAATATTCTCTCTTCCTGTGCATGGTGGGTAAATACAAAATCTCTAACCTCAGTTTCTTAGATTCTGCCAGAAGTTTTGACTTTTCCTTCTTCTTTTGATTTCATAGACTCAAACCCATCTGGGTCCACAATTCGACAACTAAGAGGTTTTCGCACACATTTTCTCGGAATCCAAACAGAGGATTTCGATTTTAGTTTCAGAAACACACACCCTTTTTTTGTATCCCCCTGTTCATGTAATAAAAGCTGAGGAAGAATCCTCTCTCGAAAGGACACCAAAAAAAGGAAAAAAATATAGGGTTAAATCGTTACACCACTTCAACAATGCCATAAGATTTTCCACATTTTCTCGGAATCCAAACGGCGGATTACGAGCCTAGTTTCAGAAAGTGTTGGTGTTATAATAGCGGAGCAAAATTTTCTCTCGTGGAGGAAAACCAACCAGAAAAAGGTAATTGAGACAGAGAATTTCAAATACATTGAACCTGGATGGGATTTGAGTATCAGATATGGTTATTACATTATCTTCTTCCAGTTCAACAAACTGGTTGACTTTTCTATTTTGAATGATTTGTATTTATTGAATTTATTCCTGAAATATGAGGGCCATCCAGTGTGGGAACCAAAAGGCACGGTGGTTACTGATTTTAGTTTCTCTGTTCATCTTTTCAGCATTATAATAATTAGTTCTTTTATCCTTGTTTACCCTCTTGTTTATTTTTTTTGAAATATTTTAATCTGAAGTTTGTGTGATCTAAAGTTGGGGAGTTTGTTTTTTTTTTTTTCCTGTAGGTATCATTTGACTCATCCACTATCAATGGCTTCCATGGAAGGCACATGAAGGAGGTGACTTATCAGCTTTTTTTTTTTTTTTTTTCCTTTTTGGCTTTATTCTCCTAAAAGGGCGTGAAAAGTGTAAAATACCCACTTGAAGGAAGAAATTGATTCAATTTGTGGGTTTGGACTATTCTCATTCTTCACACACTGTTATGTTTTATTCCAAATTTGAGGAAATGAGATTGGTGCGATGACAAATGCTCATCTGTTTACAATAGACATTCAGACCCTGGAGTATTCAAAATTGAACAATGTAATGTAGGTGGAACCAAGTATGGATTGGTGTGTAGCTTGGAGATGTCATATTTGCGACTAATTAAATGGTTGATTATGGTTATGGGTTCATTTAGTAATGTTGGCTGTTAAGGTTCTCGAAAAGAGCATGATTGTGGACTCTCCATTATAGACTAATACTGACCTCTGATTCATTTTTGTGGAATGTCATTGTCTGCACCACTTTAATTTTTGTTTGATTTTGCATATATACCAAGATGCTGTTTTCGGGTTATACAGTATAGTGCTGTTATGCTTTCATTGTGATTTGAAAATTATGTTGTCTTTGTTATATATGCTACTCATCTAAGCTGTTTTTGGGTGAGGTTGAGTTCGTTTTCATCACAATTAATTGTTATCAAAGTTTCTAGTTTGTTTCTCCTTTGGATGTCTGTTAATTGAAGTTGGGTTTTTAAGCAAACCCCTCCCTAATTTATTTTGGCGAAGGCTTATATCAGACTACGGACAATAATAAAGCAACAAACCTAATCTTATAGTGCACACAAGACATCATTAAGAACTGAAATGTTCTTTGTATTGGCCATTGTTTTAGGCCGGAGTTGTTTTGCACAAATTACTTTATTAATTTGACATACTTAAGCAGCAGCCCTAGGAAGAGGGAAATTACTAAACACTTTATGATGGTATGTGAAGAAAAACTCAGCCTTACCACCCAAAAAAAAACCCGAAGTAAAAACTCATCAAACTGTTAATCACTTATTAAAATAAGCCTTCACTAGTAATTGGGTGTGTAACAAGAAAGATCCAGGTTCATGCGATTCTACTGTTGTTAATGATCTCTGTAAGGTTGGAAAGTTTGACCTGTAATTTGTTTCACAACCTATATAAGCAAGAGCTTCCCAAGGCCCTTCAATGTTCAAGGCGGGGTTTGCACTCTTCAAACATTATTGTCTAACATCCTTTCTCCGACTTTCATTTACCTTCTCATGGCTAGTTCCAATTCCCTTTACAATCTCTACCAGTGAACTGTAGTATCTTCTTAGATTTGCTCCAGTAATATTTTTTTCCCTTTTTTTTATATCTGGATGATTAGAATATTTAGTTTGAGAGATACAAATTAATAACTATAAACCAAATGGCACTACGGGTTCTTGAACGTTGAGTTGTTGTAGTAATAGGTGCAGTAGCCATGTTGTTTATGCACAAATTAACAATGTTCCTCTTGAGTTGGTGCTTGATTAACAAGGCCGCATTTGTTATGAACACTGTTTATTTTGTGATCATGGCAATTTTTTAACTCTCTCTCTTTCTGCACTACAGGTGAATTAATTATTTTCATCTTCAATTCGTCCCTACACTGAAGACGAACTGAACACTAAGGAGATGGACTTTAGAACCTTGTCATCCTCACCCAGTCAGATACAGAACTTACCTTACATTCACAAGGTTGGAGTTCCCCCAAAGCAAAACCTTTTGAAGGAGATCACTACTACTGTCAAGGAAACATTCTTTGCAGATGATCCCCTACGTGCTTTCAAGGATCAACCCAGGTCTCGAAAGTTCGTCCTAGGGATGCAAGCCATATTCCCCATTCTTGAGTGGGGGAGAAGTTACAATCTTGCTAAATTTAGAGGAGATCTTATTGCTGGTCTCACCATTGCAAGTCTCTGTATTCCACAGGTAGAGTAGACAAGTAAAAAAGATTATAACAAAACATAAAAGGAAAGCCAGAAATTTTCATGTGCAAACATATTTAACTATTCAATGACTGTTAAAACAGGACATTGGATACTCAAAGCTAGCGAATTTAGATCCTCAGTACGGATTGTGTAAGTATGAAGTATTGTTTATTAGACTGTCAGTTTTTTTAACAAATTCACTAGATTGAGAAATTTTTGTAGTATTTGTGACAAGAATCTGTGTCTCTCATTTAAACTCTTGCAGATTCCAGCTTTGTTCCCCCGCTGGTTTATGCCTTCATGGGTAGTTCAAGGGATATAGCAATAGGACCAGTGGCCGTGGTGTCTCTCTTGTTGGGGACTCTACTTCAGAATGAGATTGATCCCACAACAAATGCAGTTGAGTATCGGCGGCTTGCATTTACTGCTACTTTTTTTGCTGGGATCACCCAAGCTACCCTTGGGATACTCAGGTAGCTGAAGACATGTCGCAACTTTAAGTAGTACATTTCGAATTCTTAGACTTATAAGTAACTTACATCTTTAACACTTCTTACTTTAATGCATTGCCTATCATATTCTTCTTTGTGTTTTGTCGAACAACCCTTGCTTTCAGTCTTCTATTGTAAGCTTATTCTGGTTTTGCTATCTGCGCAGATTGGGTTTCTTGGTCGACTTCCTATCTCACGCTGCTGTTGTTGGTTTTATGGGTGGAGCGGCCATAACAATAGCTCTCCAGCAACTTAAAGGTTTTCTTGGCATCAAAAGATTCACAAAGAAAACTGATATTGTTTCTGTAATGCACTCAGTTTTGGGCTCAGTCCACCATGGGGTAAGTCTCTTTCTCTCTCTCTGCCCACAACCTCGTCGTTGCCACATCAAGAACCTGATAAACAAATCAATCTTTGTTTTCAACCTTCACTTATTTACTTTGATATTATGAATGTTTTCCAGTGGAACTGGCAGACAATCATCATTGGAGCAACCTTTTTGGCTTTCCTTCTATTTGCTAAGTACATTGTAAGAGTCTTTGATTCTCACCACTGTTTTTATGGTTTATAAGTATTGCAACATCTCCACAATTCTCATGTGATTTGAGGCACAGGGTAAGAAGAACAAGAAATTTTTCTGGGTTCCTGCAATCGCCCCACTGATTTCTGTCATTCTGTCCACATTTTTTGTGTACATTACCCATGCAGAAAAGAAAGGCGTTCAAATTGTAAGAGCTTGTTTCACTTACTTCCTTTTCCTATCTTAGTATTAGTAACTTTATTTTTCCGTAAACCAATTGTGTTTTGATAATTGCAGGTTAAACATATAGAGAAAGGAATTAATCCACCGTCTGTCAATGAAATATTTTTCACTGGTGAATATCTCCTTAAAGGATTTAGGATTGGACTTGTGGCTGGCATGATTGCATTGACGGTAAGCCAGAATTCCATTTCAGCCATTGATGGGAAGGAAATTAGTCTATCAGTTCCTCTATCTAACCCATTTTTCCCTCCTTTCTTTCGCATGCCAGGAAGCTGCTGCGATTGGAAGAACATTTGCTTCCATGAAGGACTATCAACTGAACGGAAACAAGGAAATGGTGGCACTGGGAACGATGAATATCGTTGGCTCAATGACATCCTGCTATGTGGCGACAGGTGAGAAGAAAAATACAGATGTAGCCATTTTGATATCAACCTTTGAATAATGTTACATAGTAAACCATAGGAACTTAGGAGCACTATAAAAGGAATTTACATGTATAAACCTTTTTATGGAGTAGCTGTTGCAGTGTTTTATTTACGTATTCTTTATGTTGATAAACTAAATAACTGTATTTCAAAACTAATATATAGTGACTATTTGACATGCATGCTGTTTATAATCTGTTTGGGGTTTTACAGGTTCCTTCTCTCGCTCGGCAGTAAATTACATGGCTGGTTGCCAAACTGCAGTGTCTAACATTGTGATGTCCTGCGTTGTATTCCTGACGTTGGAGTTCATCACTCCTCTTTTTGAGTACACCCCAAATGCAATCCTTTCTTCCATCATTATATCTGCAGTCATCGGCCTAATTGATTGTGATGCAGCAATTTTGATTTGGAAGACCGATAAATTTGATTTTGTTGCTTGCATGGGAGCCTTTTTTGGTGTGATTTTCGCCTCTGTTGAAATCGGTCTTTTAATTGCGGTAAGAATTGGGTCAATTATCATCTTATATTTCTAATTGTCAGGTGCCTCATTGACACAAACGAATTTTCACTTTCTGTTATGATAGGTCTCAATATCCTTTGCCAAAATCCTTTTACAAGTTACAAGGCCACGCACTGCCAGTCTTGGAAGGATCCCCCGGACAAGTGTTTACAGGAACATTCAACAGTATCCAGAGGCAACTAAGGTTCCCGGTGTGTTGATCATTAGGGTTGATTCTGTAATCTACTTTTCCAACTCTAACTATATTAAGGAGAGGTAATGATGCTATTTAAATTTGTATATTTTCTTTTACCCTTAATGTCTGTTCTTCTTTGTTACTCTCGACATTTGTATTTAAAGAAACCAAGCTTGCATAACATATACTATGTTTAGGTAACATGTTATATTGATATTTGAATCATCTGATCATGCTTCATCAATGGCTTGAGTTTTTTATCAAATTTTTGTAATAACACTATCAGTGTAAACGTGCTTGCTCCTACACCTGTATGGAACTGACAGTTTATAAGATTGTGAATGGGGGAGTATAATTTTGTCAACTTTCAGTATATATCTCAAACATAATTTTGCTGCAGGATATTGAGATGGTTGACAGATGAGGAAGAGCAACGAAAAGCAGCCTGCCAACCTAGGATTAAGTTTTTGATTGTTGAAATGTCACGTGAGTAGCTGCTTACCTGGTCCTTGCATTTTGAAAACACGATATTATTGCGCTTGCCTAAGCATTAAAACACTAATGATGTTTTTCTTCTCTTTGCAGCCGTTACTGACATAGACACCAGCGGCATCCACGCCTTTGAAGATCTGTATAAAAGCCTCCAAAAGAGAGATGTTCAGGTTTTCAAATCACTATAAATTTATGCCAAATTTTATTGAGTCTCCTTTATTAAACTTATACATGGCAGGGCCGTTTACTCTTCTAATTACAATTTGAACTGCAATTAACTCATGAAGTCCTCTTCTTGTTGTCTAGCTTGTTCTGGCAAATCCTGGGCCACTGGTGATTGACAAGCTACACGCTTCTAATTTTGCAACCTTGATCGGTGAGGACAAGATCTTTCTGACGGTAGCAGATGCAGTTCTGACCTGTTCACCAAAGTTGGTTGAGGAGGTCTGACTTATAAAACGGAAACTGCAGGATGATGACATAAAATGGTGAATCCAGATGCAGTATGACAAATCAAGATGCATATATAGACAATTAGACATATCTAGTGTTAAAATAGAAAGGGGACTTGGGTCCAGTTTAGTAGTGGTTGGTGGGATTCTTTATACAGTCGATTAAAGCGGCGTCCGATGAATCCTAATACAAAAATAAAAATAGAAAAAGGGTAAACTGACTAATTGTGACACAAGGTTCTTGGTTTTAAGGTTACTTATACGAGGTTATCCTATGATTGTAACTTGTAAGATCTTTCTTACAGAGAAAGGTTGAATTTTGAGGGTGTATTTTCCCATTCAGCATTAAAAAATTCTCAGGAAAGCTGTTGTTTGTAACAAGATGGTGTAATGACTGATAATAATATCAATGAAAGACCACCAAATATTTTCAGATCTTCTATTATCTTGACAATTATGTAAGATTACTGAAATCACTGTTACATATGATTGCACTTAGACTGTCACAGCTTCTTGTTAAAAAATTTTGTGTGAATAATTGAAGCATAGTAGTCACAAGTCAGTATTCAGAAGCACTCAGCCACCATCTTACAAATATTATAAACTCAACAAAAAGGAGGAGAGGGAGGGGGCTGCCGCAAAGCGACAGTGAATTGAGATTAGGGAGGGCCATGTTGGGATCATGAGTGGATTCTGAAATAATTTATAATCCTAATCGGCTGGGATACAAAAATGTCTACCTGCATTGGCAGTAGGACCAAGGTGGTGTGAAAACCCATTTTCCTTCCCTTCCACTAAACTATACTACTTGATAGAGGATAATAATTTATGTGTTCTTCCATTTTGTGTGCTGATCAACCACTGTTTTTTTTTTTGGGGGGTTCTAAATATAAACTTAGCATTTTGTTAGAATACACATAAATTCTAAAAAAATCCTCAAAATATTACAAGCTCCATTATATAAACGATAGGACATAGCTAAAGCACTAATCTCAACGAAAAAATTCTATGAGTTTCACGCATCACGTGACTAGACCAACGTGGTGTGCAAACCCAATAAACAAATGCCAGGTAGTAACTTATTACGTGACCAGACCAACGTGGTGTAAAAACTCAATAAGCAAGCTTATCAGAGAAGATTATTCACCCATAAACATCTTTCCTTGGATATAAATATATGCTCGTTTTATAGTTATCTTTCTATCGATAATTATCCTAGTTTTCTCTAAGCAATTTATTTTCCGATTTCTCTTTGTTTCAACTTCTACTCTTCAAATTTTTAGAGCCCATTTGCGCTTGATAAACTATTGCTTTTTTAAATTCCAAAATAATCATCGTTTCATTTCCTCCTTTATAGAGATTGTAATGAATTCGAACAAGATACATTGACGAGCTATAAATTCACTTCTAATTAAAGAAAAATTTGGAGGTCAATCCCTTTTTAAGAACTTATTTGGTAATAAGTTCATCAAGAAAACTTGTTTAATATTAAATCCATTTTGATCTCCATTGTTTAAAACATCCCTAGTAGTTATGTTTAGTTAAAACAAATTTGAAAACTAACAAGTTCTAAATTTTAGGTAATTGATTAATATTAAAAAAAAATTTCTCTTATATCTATCTATATCCATATATAAAATATGACTATTTTTTTTTCTCTTTCTCCTATATACATATAGTAACATTAAAAAAATAGTAACTTTCAAATACAAAAAAAAGTACAATTTAAATACAAAAAAATAGTAATATTTAAACACACAAAAAAATAGTAATATTCAAAAACAAAAAAATAATAACATTAAGTATTAATATTTGAAAAAATAATAATAGTAACATGCTCACAAAAATAAATAACATGCACAGTAACATGGGAAAAATAATAATAAATAGAATATTCAAAAAAAAAGATATTAGCATTAAAAATCGAAAACAATAACATTTAAAACACTAATGACAACCTTCTTATTTGTCCATTCTTCAATTTCAAAAGACATAATGGCCACCTATCCTTTAAACCTCCAATCAATTAGTTTCAAATTTTATACCCGGCTGACGATTGTTGGACAATGTTTAAATTATTAATTTACATCTTTATTTTGAGATTCAACTTTCAATTTGATAATAAAAATAATAATATAAGAAAATGCTATGGTACTCGTGGGAATCTGGAACTACTAGGATATATATATATTCACTATAGAGAGTATCAGTTGTTTTTGAATTTAAATTTTAAATTTATGTAAAAAATTTATTGGCATATTTTCATTGATATTAAATTAAATGATAACAATTCTCAAGTAAGGAAACTAATTTAAGTTGCTTTCAAATAATGATATTTTAGAGTTTTAAAAAATTAATAAACTTAACAACTTACTAGTAAGATTAAAAGTGAACTTATTCTCAAATAAATTTCCCTGACTAAACTGAGAACTCAGCCCTAATTTTTACTTAATTAAATAAATTATTTTGCTATTTTATTCAATGCGCATGTGTTATTTATCACATCTTTCTCAAAATTATTGAAACATAATTTTAAATACTAATACACTATCCTATTAATCTAGGGCTAATATGAACTTGCACCCTAAAAGATCATTTTGAATTTTGATTTATACCCTTAAAATTTAAAATTATTAATTTACATCTTAAAATATATAAATACGTATCAATGTGCATCTGAAACTAACTGTCATCAATTTTGTAGTTAAAAAAGTTTGAATTAATTATAAATTACACCTCTCAACATTTAATATTTCACATTTATGTTCCAAAAAGAATTTCATTCATAATGCTCATTAAATATCTCTCAATCGTATCATATCATAACATTTTCATGTCATGTTTGAATCAATAAAAAAATATTTTCATGTCGAATCAACTGCGTTGTGTCTTATATTTCATATATTATGACAATTCATATAATACTTGATGGGCCAAGCCCAAGAAGAACCCAATTTATTTAGAAAACCTAAACCTCAATTAAAAGGCCCAGTCTTATGAAGACTCACTAAGCCCAATATTATCCAAGTCTAGTTTCATCAGTTCGGCTACGTCATCAAGAGAGAGAGAGAGAGAGCACGGGAGCCTTATCTGCACCACCAACGAAGCAGTTCATCCTCACCTTATCCTTGACCGCATCTCATGGAGAGCATCTCAACCACCTCGCCCGTTGAGAAGAAGTCGTGAGCTCCACCGAAAGGGTTGCTCAGTTGCTGTAAAATAGCCTCAACCTGTTAAGGGACCACTATAAATTGCATACCCCACCAATACTTAGGGGGCATTACACATCATTTGAGCACGACTCTCTTCTTTTCCACAAAGCTTGTACTATCTGCTCCCCACACCTTTGAGTTAATAAAATATCCAGCAACCAGAGCCATTAAAGAGTGGACGTAGGTCGAGCTGACCAAACCACTATAAATTACCTGTGTCTCTCCATCTCCTGATATTATTTTCTTGCATTTATTATTCACACTTGACAGGTGGTGTACAAAATCATTTTGTGCAACATCAATTTGGCGCCGTCTGTGGGAAAGCGACAAAATTCTCACTCCTGAACATTCTATTTGCTGAATCAATGGTGATCACAGCCAGATCCAAGAACCAACATGAAGATAATCCATCACGAGAGGAGGAGGTTGCTCCTCCACCTACCAGCCCTGCTCCAAATGCTCCAGCTCCAATTCCACAGCAAATGCTGGAGACCATGCAACAGTTGATGGTCCAAAACCAACAGATACTACAACTCATTCACTGAACGAGGAGAAGCATAACTTGGACGTGCACATCATGAAGGACACCAAAGAGCTTCACGCCTTGGGCATCAAGGAGCTCCACATCCTACTGCTCCACACCTAGGCACCCCTACAGGGCTGGGCGCCCCCTTTAGAGTCCTCTTTGGCGCCCTGCACAGGGAAGCCCATCATGAGGGAGTTCCACCTCTTCCTCCTGCTCCTGCTTCCTATGATAAGGACCCCCATCTTTAGGAGAATGAGGGCAAGAACCAAAGCATGGAGCATGGGAGTCATTTTCATGATCACTCCAGGGGACCCTCCAACCATTGGGACGAAAAGATCAAGGAAGTGCAAAATCAATTGGGTGACATCTTCAATGTCATGAAGGCGCAAGGACCCGAGACAGTAGACTACCTAGTAAGGTGTACAGACACACCCTTCAAGCCTGACGTGGCGAACTATCCCTTAAAAGCTCAAAATGCCATCCGTGGAGACCTTTGATGGGACAAAAGATCCACTAGACCACCTCTACACCTACAAGACTCTGATGCAGCTGCATAATATCCCAGACAAAATCATGTGCAGGGCATTCCTAACCACATTAAAAGGGTCCTCACGACAATGGTTCGCTAAGCTCCCCTAGCCTCCATTGCCTCCTTTGCTGAGCTGAGTATGTCATTCGTATCACAATTTATTGGGGGGGGGTGTCACCATCAAAGCCTGTCACCCATCTGCTTAGCATAAAGCAGGACCGGGAGGAGAGCCTGAGGAGCTACCTCACTCATTTTAACGAGGAGGTACTCCAAGTTGATGAGTCCGACAACAAAGTGACGATGACCGCCTTCTTGGGAGGCCTCCGCTCATCAAGCTTCCTCTTCTCAATGATGAAGCACCCACCAAAGAGCATGCCAAAACTACTAACAAAGGCCTAGACATATATGAATGCTGAGGACATCACAAGGGCCAGACGAGATGAGTCCTCCAAAGCAGCAGGGGAAAAGAAGAAGGAAAGGAAGAGATAAGACAAGAAGGAGACTAGCAACAAACGTGGCAGAAAAGAGAGGGTTCCTGTCAAAGACTGGCTAGGTCTTACTCCTCAGAGGGATCGACAAGCCTTCACTCCCCCCAATGTCACTATCGGGCACATCCTACTCCAGATCCAGGATGACCTCGCCATAAAGTGGCCAGGAAAGATGAAATCTCCTCCAAATAGCAGAAATCCTAACAAGTACTGTCGTTTCCACCGCGACCATAGGCATGACACCGACGATTGCTATGACCTCAAAAGACAAATTGAGGAACTCATCCACTGTGGCCACTTACATCAGTATATTGTTGGCAGAGAACGAGCACCACCACCTCATAATCAAGAAGATCAGCAGCCCGTAGGGGAGATTCACACCATCTCGGGAGGACTAGCAGGAGGTGGAGAATCACTCTCTGCAATGAAGGCCCACGCCAGAAAGGCAAGGCACCTCGACGAGATACGCCCATCCAAAGCGCCAAAGCAGGGCGACAACGAAGTCATATCTTTCTTAGATAAGGACCTACAGGGAATCCAGCACTCCCATGACGACCCCCTGGTGCTCACCATGACCGTGGCCAATTTTTTGGTGTGCAGGATCCTGGTGGATAGTGACAGCTTTGCGGATATCCTATTCGTAGAGGCTTATAACAAACTCAAATTGGGCAGAGAGAG